TCTTGTACAGGAACACCTGGTCATATTTGTTTGGAAAATGAGATAAAAAGTCAAAACCTTCCATAAATTACAGTTATTCAGATTTAAGAATGAGACACCATCACAGGAACAGTTTCTTGATTCCAGCCTCAACCTGGATTTGTCTAAACCTCTAAGTGCAGTCACCATGTAGTGCTGGATGTGTTCAGTTTTATATCAACACCACTCTTCTTGCTATAGTGTAACAGTATATCTCATGGCAATCTTTTGTAAGGTAATGTACTGGCTGTCACTGTGGTCCAGTGTATCAGCCTGTTTATGCTCGAGTCTCTGTTTTAAAACCAAGTCTCTAAATAGGTTTGAATGAAAAGTTCCCTAAGCTGGTAACAAAGATGCTAAGTTGACAGCAATGTCATCTTACAGGAAGAAGAGTGTCACTAGTGTCACTGCTGCGTGATGGTGTGTCTGTACTGTAGCTTGTCAAGCATGAGGGAGTTCTGACTGGCTCATCAGTTATTCCACTTAGTTACTTTTCATTATTCTAGTTCTTGACATGTTTTGACACCTACAGCATTGAAACATTTTGAATACTTTGAGTGATATGTAACCTGTAATATACCAGCTCATGGTTTGGAACGTCTAACACTTTAAAGAGAGAGCAAAAAGGGATTCAACAAACACTTCCTGGAGTAAAATTGCAAAAGGAGTTCATCGAGCATCCAGTGACTACTGGTTCACTACTGGTACAGTACTTGATTAGTACAGTGTACTAGACAAATATGTATATCAGACACAATAGTAACATAAAGTTAGTATAACACTAACATCACTTTGCTTCAGTTTAGTTAATTTAAATAATGGCAAAGATGACGTGAAGATATTCTGATAAAACTAATAAAATATTATTAATACACAAGCAAGTTTCCAATTTGCACATGTCAAATCCAGCTATGAAAGATGACCACAGCCACTGCAAAGGAGAAAGTAAATAAAGTAAAAGCCATGATAACAATCAAATTCTAACTTCTGAGAAACATGAATATATTATACTCTGCCATTACATGTTAAACCAGTTTCTGAGTCTTCACCTGCTGATGGATTACAACCTTCACATTTTTACATGCTTGGCATTTTACCAACTATCTCATATAGAGAAGCTTAATGACGCATGTAGCAATAGAAAAAGCTTCAGTAGCTGGATCATCAGCATGACAGGCAACTGATAGCAAGACCAACACTGATCCTTGGATGATCATGAATGATGGAGGAGTGCTTGGAAAAGAATTTAAGAGAGAGATAAGAGAAATGTTCATATTTCTTAAAGGAGTAGGATTCAGTGGGGAACAGATGTTAGGTACACCTGGAAAGTCTTCAGAAATCACTGTTCTATTATCAGCTGAGAAAATGTCAGACATTTAGCCCATGAAATTCAGTCAAAATGCATTCTGAATTAAATTGTATGTGTATCGACTTAGGGATGTCTTGGAAAGCAAATTTTTAGAGGATAAATCTCTGACAGGAGTGACGTAATAATGTCCCTGGTGGGGCTCTCACCAGGCAAACTGGCTGCCAGTTCCCGCAGAGACTTCTGTTCTAATCTACGTTAAAACTGGGACATTTCTCCATATTTAACATAGTGGTTAAAAAAACCAACCCAAGGAACACCGGAGGAATAGGTGACATTTTTAAAGAATCACCTTATCTTTGTCTATTAATGAGTAAACATTTCAAAGATTACATTTGGTAGACATTTGGGCAAAGTCACAATAAGTGCTTCCCCTGAGAAGCAGAACATAGTTTAGAAGTTGCATAACAAGATCACAGGTAGCAAGGGTTAGTCAGGCATTGAAGAGGAAATTTTAAAATAGCTGTGAACTGCAGTGGGAGGAAAATTTACATGTATAGTAGCCAATCATAGCTTAAATACAGCATACATTAAGTAAACTGACTGTTGGAAAAACCCCTCTCTTGAGCAGTAAATGTCTAATCATAGCTTAAAATCTGAAAGTAGGCACTGTTGCCAGCCAAACTTTGTGTTTATCTCCATATAGAAGCAGTGTGCATGAGGCTGTAGTAAGAGTGGCACTAAGTGCATGGTTGGTGGTTTCTTTTTTTAACCATCCCAAAACCAAAAGCACAAGATCACAAGTGTACGAAATTGATTAAACTGTGTGTACCTTTGATGGGGGGGCCTTACATAAAAACACAGACCTGTTCATGAGGAGCACATGCACTGTGTGGAAGCCATTCCTAGATTCCATCCATACGTCCATCAGTCCCATTCTCATTAATGCAATATCTCAGGAACACCTTGAGAGAATTTCTTCAAAATTGGCACAAATACCCACTTGGATTCAAGAAAGAATTGATTAGATTTTAGTGGTAAAGGACAAAGGTCAAAGTCAGAGTGACTTCACATCTGTCCCATTCTTGTGAACATGATATCTCAGAAATGTCTGGAGGGTATTTCTTCATATTGGGCACGTTCCTTCACAGTCTTCACTATATTAAATAAGTCTGGACCAACATGAATATGCATGTAAAATGCAATTTGACTGGTTGGCGGGAGGCATTCAGCCAGAAGGTGGTAATTCGAGGTTTTTCTATTTGTTTGTTTTGTCTTCCTCAGTCTGAAGCTGTTGTCACTAAGAATTTTGACCGTTATCACTGAAAACTGCATACATGCCCTTGGAGACCTTGATAATAAGGATAATCACCTTTATTTGGCCAAGTATGTTACACAAGGAATTTGTTACTGGTACATAGCAATAGTAACTCAGGGGAGTAAGGCTCAGCCAAAGGTTAATTGGAAAGAGACTAAACTTTGCTTCCCCAACTGCACAAAGAGATCAAACAGCATCAGGTCTTAGGGGGAGCTGAAAAAACACTGGCCTGCCTGTGGGTTTCAGGCTGTCTCTCTGTTGTGGTTGATGATGAACTTGGATTGATGCAGATGCAAAAGCTGAGTTCTACTGTAGCTGCAGCCACATCAATGCTTTTTCAGTAAACAGTACAGGTATAGTCTTGAGTCCTCGACATATTTTCTATGATTTATACAGTCACAAAATGTAACAAAAACGCAAAAGATGCACAGATGGAGGTTAAATAAAGATTGAGGAATTTTGCTTCTCTACCAAGGACAGATGAAATGTGATGAGCTGATTAGGAAGCCTGAAGATACAGTATATTGTAAGGATGATGCATGCTGTCTGAGCAGCAGCATAGTCAGGAGCTAGCTGAAACTGTTGAAAAAATAAAAGTTTGTACATAACTGTATATACCAATCCAAGGATGCTGCTGTTGATACCTGTCAATACACCATACACACCTTAAAATCTGGCTATGCTTCCTAAGGCCAGCATGTTTAGCTTGATTTTGAATGATGTTTAAACTTTGGTTCCTTCTTTTAATAATCCACTTAAATAAGTCATGTTGCCCCAGTTATTTATCATCTATAGAGCAGAACTTTGCTATGAAATAAGTTTATCAATGTTTTGGACTAAGAGAACAAAAAGAACAAAAACATGTTTTTTTGTGATAGCATTCCCCAAGAAGTAGTGATTAGATAATATTGGACAATGACTGCAACCATTAGAATTTAATTAAATTACAAATGGCTCCGTTAAATTTATTTCCTAATTTGTAACTTAGTCTAATGCTTATTAACTTTGTTTTGGCTCTTCACTTGTAATTTGTTAAAAAGGAAACATGCACGCTTCATTTCATTCATATTTTAACTCAGGAAGAATTTTTGTACAGGTGCACAACCTGTTGTAGTGTTACGTGCTCATGTAATGCTTCTCATCTTTATCAACATATTTTTAGAAAATGTGTCTGTGTGTGCACACATTTATAAAAGCAGTAGAGTTTTTGTGGTAAACCTACAAGATGTCATGTTTTATTCAGAGTGGCTCAGTAGCCAACAACTCCTACCCCTCTCCAAATTTTTCACACTGAGCCTGACAGGTACAGTATATGGGTTTAAAAATTTTATCCGCAGTACCCACCAAGCTCCACGCTTTATGTGTCATTGTCTTTCCACTATATCATTGGCTTTCTCACTTGTCCTGCCTCTTATGCTGATGAGTATGATTAACTTCCAAGATTGGCCAGTTTGGTTAACTACACTTATTTTATAGTAAAAGAGCACACTTCAGATTACAAACATTGCAAGCAATCACAATAAAGGAGAAAAATGGTCAGACTTTATTACCTTGTAACTCTAAAACAATCCCATTAGAGAGAGTTATTAGCAAACAATGGAATAAGAAATATAAAGAGGTACAGTGTGACTATTTTACTCACTCTGCTCACAGAGATTTTTCAGAAAATGACATTTTATATTTATGTTCTCATTTGTAAAATATCTCCCAGTGTCATTTCAATACCAACAGTAAAACCAAGAAATCCAGATAAGCAGCAGAAGCTCAGGTCCAGTATCTTCTTGCACTTTATTTGCACTTCAGAGATCTAAAACCACATGAACCCTATGTCATCAGTGTTCTCTCCTGATGACACATTTTTTCACAGTTTGAAAACATCACATATTCCATAATGGCTTTTTTCAGTACTTCACTGCAGCTGTATCACATTTATATTGAGATAAATATTCAAGCTGCTTTTTTATGGGTTTTAGATGTCTGCACTATTTTGTACACACTTTCTTATAAGTCAGCATGACATATTTGATACTGTAAAGTAGATGCAGTCACAGTGCAGTATAAACAGCTGCCAGTACACTGTATTGTAATTCCTCCTTTCCTTTTGCTGTTAGTCTTTCCCTGCTTTATACTCTTTCTCTTGCTTTTTCCTGCACTTTCCTTGTTTAAGAGACAATGACAAAATATTCATTTAGAGGTCAAATTTTTCTTTGTTATATATATATATATATTTTCTGCAAATATACAAGTTTTCTCTAGAAAAATGTGTATATCTTACTGCAATTTCTGAGACAAAGGTTTCAAAAGTTCTGATGATTTCTCTTTCTCACCCCTTTCTCTCCCTGCCTGTCTATGTGTCAGTTGTGCAGCATATAAAGCGGAGAGACATCATCCTGAAGAGGGAGTTGGGTGAAGGAGCATTCGGGAAAGTGTTCCTGGCAGAGTGTTATCACCTCAGCCCCACCAAGGACAAGATGCTGGTAGCTGTCAAGGTACATCTTCACTGTGTGCATGTACCGAATATACATTATAAATAGCATTAAAGGAATAGTTCAGCATTTTGGGAATGGAGCTTATTTGCTTTTATGGTGAGCACTCATATCCGTCCTCAAAATATAAAGCTGCAGCCAGTAACTGCTTAGCATAGCTTAGCATAAAGACTAGAAACAGCCTGGCTTCATAGTGCTCTGTATTTATTTCCTGCCATTTTATTTTGAGAGTCTGCATCTACCATAGACAACAGAGATAAATGTTAAGCATTCTGAGTTCTCTCATCCAAGACTGGGTACTCCAACCTCTACCTCTCTTTGTACCCACTCAAAAGTATCAGCTGGAACAACAGCATTTACTGTCAGCAAAGTTAATGCCCCAGTGAAATGGACGCTTTGTTAGATCGTAAAGCATTTAGAACCATTACACCTGTGTGTCCACTCTTAATGTTTTTATAGTGCCCCGTATTAAGTTGGGCTTGGCAGTGCCCAATGTGAATATGAGTGTGAAGGAGGGTGATACTGAATAAGTGGTTGCAGACATAGCACATTTACTAAGGAAAAAAATTACAGTCAGAAAACAACTCTGACCTTGACAAAAGGAGTAGTGGGAGAGTTAGAATGAAGATTATGGAGTGTCTGGCTGTTACTTCCTTTTCTCGGCATTGCAGGATTAACAGCAAAAATGTAACCTGTTTAATAATAAGCCTCCTCTACAGTGACATCTCTGTTTTTATGTAGATGTGCATTTCATTTGACCATATTACTGTCTGTGATAAAGCAAGAAGAACCTCTCTGAATACAGTCAAAGGTCAACAAAAGAAAATTCATTGCAATACTTTTCCTCAATGTATTGTAGTAGAGCACTTGGAGGTATTGTTTTGGAGGGATTCCCAGACAGGAAACATTTTTCTTAAGTGTGCAGTTTGATTTGGTAATAGGATTTTATGGTCATTTTACCTACTCTGTTGTGCATCTCAACCACCCCTAGCATTTCACATATCACTGAATGTGTTTCCATCCCAAGGTCTTTCTGTCTATAATAACATCAGCAGCAGGCTGAGACAGCATGACTCAAGGAAATGAACTTGTTGCATTTCCCCGTTTCTGAGTCTTTTTTTCCTCCAGTAGAGGCTGCAGTATTGTTGGTGTTGGATTTGAATTTCTTTTATCTGATACTGGTGACTTCAAAGGACATCCCACTAAGATTTGATATTTCATGTGTACTGTACTTCAAAGGAGTTCAAGGTGCTCACAGTTTGATTCTAATACTAATCAGGTCCATTTCTTCCAGTACAGTTGTTGTAATGACTAGCCTACGAACTTTGTACAGGATAATGATGTGGATACGTATATCAAAACTTCCATCACAAGAGCTAAATGACTTAATTATATATAAATCCATCCATCCATCCATCCATCTTCCTCTGCTTATCTGGAACTGGGTCAAGGGGGCAGCAGTCTAAACTAAGATGCCCAGACTTCCCTCTCCCTAGACACGTCCTCCAGCTTCTCCGGGGGGATACCGAGGTGTTCCCAGGCCAGCCGAGAGACATAGTTCCTCCAGTGTGTCCTGGGTCTTCCCCGGGGCCCCCTCCCGGTGGGACATGCCTGAAACACCTCCCTAGGAAGGCGCCCAGGAGGCATTCAAAACAGATGCCTGAGCCACCTCAGCTGGTTCCTCTCGATGTGGAGGAGCAACGGTTCTACTCTGAGCTCCTCCCGGGTGACCGAGCTCCTCACCCTATCTCTAAGGGTGCACCCAGCCACCCTGCGAAGAAAGCTTATTTTGGCCGCCTGTATCCAGGATCTTGCCCTTTCGGTCATGACCCAAAGCTCATGACAATAGGTGAAAGTCAGAATGTAGATCAACCGATACATCGAGAGCTTCGCCTTACAGCTTAGACTTTCCCGGGGAGGCTGAGGAGTGTGATCCCCCTGTAGTTGGAGCACACCCTCCGACCCTTCGATCCCTCTTCTTGAAAAGAGGGACCACCACCCCAGTCTGCCAATCCAGAGGCACTGTCCCCAACCGCCATGCGATGTTGCAGAGGCATGTCAGCCAAGACAGCCCCACAACATCTAGAGACTTAAGGCACTCAGGGCGAATCTCATCTCATCCACCCCCAGTGCCTTGTCACCGAGAAGCTTCTCAACTACCTCGGTGACTTCAGCTTGGGTGATGGATGAACCCACGTCCCTGGCCTCTGCTTCCTCATTGGAAGACATGAAACCGGAGTTGAGGAGATCCTCGAAGCATTACCTTCACCAGTTGAGGTCAACAGCTGCCCACCTCCACTGTAAACAGTTTTGGCAGGGCACTGCTTCCCCTTCCTGAGGCGCCGGACGGTTTGCCAGAATTTCTTCGAGGCAGTCCCAGGAGACAACCAGGATCGAAAGGTCTCCTTCTTCAGCTTGACAGCATCCCTTACTTCCAGTGTCCACCACCGGGTTTGGGGATTGCCACCGCGACAGGCACCGGTGACCTTACGGCCACAGCTCCAAACAGCCGCAAACAATGGAGGCAGAGAACATGGTCCATTCGGACTCAATGTCTCCAACCTCCCGGGGATCTGGTCAAAGCTCTGCTGGAGATGGGAGTTGAAGATCTCTCTGACAGGGGATTCTGCTAAATGTTCTCAACAGACCCTCACAATATGTTTGGGTCTGCCAAGCCTGTCCAGCTTCCTACCCCTCCATCAGATCCAGCTCACCACCAGGTAGTGATCAGTTGACAGCTCCGCCCCGCTCTTCACCCGAGTGTCCAAGACATACGGCCGGAGGTCAGATGAAACAACTACAAAGTCGATCATCGAGCTCTGGCCTAGGGTGTCCTGGTGCCACGTTCACTGATGGACACCCTTATGCTTGAACATGGTGTTTGTTATGGACAAACTATGACTAGCACAGAAGTCCAATAAGAGAACACCACTCAGGTTCAGATTGGGGGGGGCTGTTCCTCCCAAACACGCCCCTCCACGTATCACTGTCGCTGCCCACTTGAGCGTTGAAGTCGCCCAGTAGAACAATGGAGTCCCCAGTCGTTTTCCAGCACCCTTCCCAGAGACTCCAAGAAGGCCTGATACTCTGCCCTGCCATTCGGCCCATAGGCACAAACGATAGTGAGAGACCTATCCCTGACCTGAAGGCACAGTTAGGTTCAGATTGGGGGGGGCTGTTCCTCCCAAACACGCCCCTCCACGTATCACTGTCGCTGCCCACTTGAGCGTTGAAGTCGCCCAGTAGAACAATGGAGTCCCCAGTCGTTTTCCAGCACCCTTCCCAGAGACTCCAAGAAGGCCTGATACTCTGCCCTGCCATTCGGCCCATAGGCACAAACGATAGTGAGAGACCTATCCCTGACCTGAAGGCACAGTTAACCGGGGTGAACTCCAACACATGGCGGCTAAGCTGGGGGGCTATGAGCAAGCCCGCACCACCCCGCCGCCTCTCACCATGAGCAACTCCAGAGTATTAGAGTCCATCCAGCCTCTCTTGAGGAGAGCCCAAGCTGTGCGTGGAGGCGAGCCTGACTATCTCTAGCCAGTACCTCTCAACCTCCTGCACAAGCTCGGGCTCCTTCCCCACCAGCAAGGTGACATTCCATGTCCCCAGGGCTAGTCTCTGTGTCCAGAGATCGGGTCGTCGGGGCCCTTGCCTTCGACCACTGCCTGATTCACTGTGCACCAGCCCCTTATGGATCCTCCTGCAGGTGGTGGGCCCACTGGAGGACATCCCCACATCGCTCGTTCAGGCTAAGCCCGGCCGGGCCCCGTGAGAAGGGGCCCGGCCTCCAGGCGCTCGCATTCCAGCCCCAGTCATGAAGTGGAACGAAATTTATTGGATATTTCAAACTTTTTTAACAAATAAAAAACTGAATAATTGGGCGTGCAAAATTATTCAGCCCCTTTACTTTCAGTGCAGCAAACTCTCTCCAGAAGTTCAGTGAGGATCTCTGAATGATCCAATGTTGACCTAAATGACTAATGATGATAAATAGAATCCACCTGTGTGTAATCAAGTCTCCGTATAAATGCACCTGCACTGTGATAGTCTCAGAGGTCCGTTTAAAGCGCAGAGAGCATCATGAAGAACAAGGAACACACCAGGCAGGTCCGAGATACTGTTGTGGAGAAGTTTAAAGCCGGATTTGGATACAAAAAGATTTCCCAAGCTTTAAACATCCCAAGGAGCACTGTGCAAGCGATAATATTGAAATGGAAGGAGTATCAGACCACTGCAAATCTACCAAGACCTGGCCGTCCCTCTAAACTTTCAGCTCATACAAGGAGAAGACTGATCAGAGATGCAGCCAAGAGGCCCATGATCACTCTGGATGAACTGCAGAGATCTACAGCTGAGGTGGGAGACTCTGTCCATAGGACAACAATCAGTCGTATACTGCACAAATCTGGCCTTTATGGAAGAGTGGCAAGAAGAAAGCCATTTCTTAAAGATATCCATAAAAAGTGTCGTTTAAAGTTTGCCACAAGCCACCTGGGAGACGCACCAAACATGTGGAAGAAGGTGCTCTGGTCAGATGAAACCAAAATCGAACTTTTTGGCAACAATGCAAAATGTTATGTTTGGCGTAAAAGCAACACAGCTCATCACCCTGAACACACCATCCCCACTGTCAAACATGGTGGTGGCCGCGTCATGGTTTGGGCCTGCTTTTTTTCAGCAGGGACAGGGAAGATGGTTAAAATTGATGGGAAGATGGATGGAGCCAAATACAGGACCATTCTGGAAGGAAACCTGATGGAGTCTGCCAAAGACCTGAGACTGGGATGGAGATTTGTCTTCCAACAAGACAATGATCCAAAACATAAAGCAAAATCTACAATGGAATGGTTCACAAATAAACATATCCAGGTGTTAGAATGGCCAAGTCAAAGTTCAGACCTGAATCCAATCGAGAATCTGTGGAAAGCTGCTGTTCACAAACGCTCTCCATCCAATCTCACTGAGCTCGAGCTGTTTTGCAAGGAGGAATGGGCAAAAATTTCAGTCTCTCGATGTGCAAAACTGATAGAGACATACCCCAAGCGACTTACAGCTGTAATCGCAGCAAAAGGTGGCGCTACAAAGTATTAACTTAAGGGGGCTGAATAATTTTGCACGCCCAATTTTTCAGTTTTTTATTTGTTAAAAAAGTTTGAAATATCCAATAAATTTCGTTCCACTTCATGATTGTGTCCCACTTGTTGTTGATTCTTCACAAAAAAATTACAGTTTTATATCTTTATGTTTGAAGCCTGAAATGTGGCAAAAGGTCGCAAAGTTCAAGGGGGCCGAATACTTTCGCAAGGCACTGTAACAGCAGAAACCAGGAGAGTGGGAGGATCAGGACGGACAGGTGAATAGATGACTAACCAGGAGGATTGGCGAACGAAAAAGGACATTCACAGCACAGGAACTGTCAGCGTGGAATGTCCAGAGATGTATAACACAAAACAAATAACCAACGTACAAAATGAGATCCACAGCACAGGAACTGTCAGCGTGGAAAACAAACTGATGTATAACACAAAACAATTAACCAATGTACAAAATGCGATCCACAGCACAGGAACTGTCAGCGTGGAAAACAAAATGATGTATAATACATACCATGAAAATAGGTCTGTTACGGGGTATGCGAGTTAGGTAAGGTAATGCTCCGGCGATGACGGAGTGTCTGCCAGAGGTATAAATAAGGAGGCAGGTAATCAACGGGATGCACCCCAGCTGTGCGCACCGACAAACGAGTCGCTAATTACCGAATGCAACACAGCTGAGGTGCAGAGCCCGCAGGTCGAGAGAACAGAAGAGAGAAAGGCGGAAGAGAGGCAGGTCGCGCCGAGCGGACCTGACAAATGTACTGTAGTGACAACCAAGACAAGAAGACTAAAAGTGGCTTTCTATCCATCTGTTTGAACACATTTTAATTTTGGCATTAAAAAACACTGAATGCTAAAAATTAGAAAAAAAATTCTAAATATGGGCTGAGGTGGGAAGTGCAACAGAATACAGTGAAAACAGACTTGGTGAGTAAATCACAATGAAATGTGACCTAAACGTTCACTGAAGTTCCCTTTCCTCTGAAGAAACTGAAAATAGTGGCAGACAGCATCAGATCCATGTGGAGTGATGACACTGTAATGTTCTGTAAAATAATACATGAACCAGATAGAAATGCCATATTTCCATTGCGTTTACTCAATAGGTTTTTACTGCCTCAAATTTGACTGGGACTCTTTTATTGGTGTCACCTTGTTGCACAGTTTACAGTGGTTTATGTTGATGCATTCAACTAATATTCACATAGCAGCAGTGGAGGGAAAACACTTTGGTCAGCATTTTCTTTTACCAAGTATATGCTACATTTGAATGGAAAACTGCTTTAACAGTCTACAGCAGCTCTGTGAGGCTGTACTTAAAGCTACTATATGTAAGTTTAGGTAGCTCTAGCATGAACCTTCAAATCAATCCACTGTGCTCTGCCCAGCACCTCCTCTTCCTGCTCGATGCTGATCTACTGCAGGGATTTTTAAAAGTGTGGGGAAGTGAGCCTCCCCTCAGAAGAGATCATGAAGACAGCACCCCACCCACAAAATTACGTTTATCATCACTGTTGGTGTAGCCTACTGTATGTTCCATTCAGCCATAATAATGGCTTTAAATAGTAAATGTAAACATCTTTTAAGCAAACACTTAAAAGAGAAGACTCATAAATGTTTGGAAGCTGATATCTCTGTACAGTGAGTCTGGGTCATGGGAAGCTACCACAGCACCTTTCCACATTACATTTTGAAGCTTATCTCAACAACAAAAAAAAAGAAAACAATTGAAAAGGTTCCATACTGTATCTTAAAACACAGGACTGTTAAATGCAGACTTCAGTATGTTTGCTGTAACATGCTATCACTGACAATGCTAACTTATTGGTGTTCATAATATACTGTTTAACATGTTCTGCATCTGTTCTGCACTTTGTTCTGCAAATTAGCATAACTTGCTAATTTGTGCCAGAAGCAGTTTTGTGGGGGTCTCAAATATCTGTACCAAATTTCATGGTAATCCATCCAATAGCTGCCAAGCCTTGTCCCTAGAAACCCAAATTTTCAAGGTCATGGCACTACAGGAAAGTCAGGTCAACAAGTCAGTACAATTCATCTTCTGGGGACCACATATATCTTTACAAAATGTCAAGGCAATCCATCCAATAATTTTCAAGATAATTCAGTCTGGACCAAAGGACTGACCAGACTGGCATTACCATCCGTAGAAATATGCTGATATGATGGCTAAAACTGAAGGACTGAACAGACTAATTGCACTAACAAAAAAACCAGGAGAAAGAGAAAGATTGCAGGGTGTAACATAGCTGTCAAACGAATAAGGAGGAGTAGCAAATGGGTTGAACACAATGAAGGATCTTAAAAACAGGCACAATGGACTATAGGACACTACGGGCTGTAAAGGGCACATTTATTGATTTCTCCAAAGGTGGGGAAAACAGACCTCCATGTTCTGAGCCTTTGGACTTGCCAGCCAACTGTGAAAATCTGACTTCTTAGTGTTCCCAATTTCAGACTCTGAAAGATCCCAACCTCTCTGCAAGGAAGGACTTCCAGAGGGAGGCAGAGCTGCTGACCAACCTGCAGCATGATCACATTGTTAAATTCTATGGAGTGTGTGTAGACGGAGACCCTCTCATCATGGTATTCGAATACATGAAGCATGGGGACCTCAACAAATTCCTCAGGTTAGTTTTTCACTGAAGGTTCAAGCTAGTGCTGGAGGAGCAAATTAAAAATGCATCATGTGAACAGACAGTAGCAAACTACTGTGGAAAAACCCAATTACAGTGCAAGTGTCTGTGCATGGAGGAAATACTTACAGGAGTTCACTTCAGCCATTGTACATATTACAGAAGAGAGCGATAAGAGTTGTGCACAAGATGGGGTATAGGGATCACACAAATGTAGTTTTCATACAGTCTAAATTGTTGAAATTCTTTGATTTGGTGGAATATAAGACTGCTGTGTTTATGTATAAAGCCAGGAACGACTTATTACCTGGTGGAATCCAACAGTTATTTGGTGAAAGGGAAGGGGGATATAACTTAAGGGGTCACTTAAATTTAAAAGTTCATGCTATACGTACTACCAAAAAAAGATTTTGTATTTCTATAAGTGGGGTCAAATTATGGAATAATTTAAGTGTGGACATGAAAAATAGTACTAGAATTGAGGAGTTTAAATATAAATATAAATGTATGTGTTATACAAGATATATGCAAGAATAAGATTTATTCGAGAAGGCATTAAGGAAACACTCTGTTTTATCTATGTAGAGATACTGCTTGCAGCCAATGATGTATGAAACTTTTTGTATAAGATGATGTCATGGGGTAGGACTGGATAAGTCTGACTTCTTCCTACTCCATTCAAACATGTACTAGGTGTAAGCAAACTGATTTTGGATTAGCATTGGTTGGATATGTGTAATTATGTGTGTGTTGCTGTCATTTGTTCTGTTCTGCATGTTTGAAAGAATAAATCAATCAATCAATCATTTTAACTCACTGATGCACTGTAAATGTAAAAAGTCCAAGAAAACTATTTTTGTATTCTTTATCAAATTTCTGCTTCTGATACAATACCCAGCCAACTTTCTGGGTTAATACTTTAGTGCTTTTGTTCCATAATGTCAGGCTGTAGCAAGGGAAGTGACCTCTGATAACCCTCAACAAAAGCCACACAGTGCCAGTACAGCAAGTGCTTTGGTAGTGGGAAGCGTCAATGGACACGATGTCAATAAGGACAGGAGGAGTCTGGGTTATACCTGTACTATTTCAGGTTGACAGCAGCAGTGTATGTGTGTGTATGTGGTCTGTCTCAATTTTGAAGTTTGAGCAGTAGGTGAAAAAATAACTTGTTGCAATTGAGAGTGAATGTGTGTATATGTGGATTCAAGAGTATGTGAAGACTTTCTGTTTGGAAATCATTCCTGAAATGAAAGGCAATGTGGTGAATGATGAAATTCTTTCATGCAGGAAGCAAGACGTGGTAGATTTTTGGTCTGTTGGTCCTCTTGGTCACATTTAGGAGATGAGTTGTGCAGGGAATCAATAGGAATGAAAAGAGGATCTGATGCATGGGTCCAGCTCAACCGTCAGATAAACAAAGGGCGATATGCACTCATCCTGTTACTACTAGATGTTTGTGAGGTTGAGAGATAAAAAGACACAAGAAAAAGTAGTACTAATCTTGCCTCAGTAAACATGAACACTTAAAGCAAAAAACACTGCCGCATTAAAATTGAAAGGTAGAAAAACAGAGACAGCCTAAGAGAGAGTGAGCTGTAGTCTCGCTGCATGGAGCCTGGTCTGTAATCACAATGACAAGAAGTTGATGAGAACAGCAGGAACTTCACAGGAAATGAGTTCTTTATTGTCGCCCAGAAATGTTAAGCAGGAAAAGAACTCTCAACCTATTTAGTCAACTTGTTCTGGTAAATGGTTGACTTATTGTATGATGAAATTCCTGAGCCTTGGTTAAAATTTTAAAGCCACCACAGACTCATAAAACAGTCACAGAATTAATAAAAAAAACAGTATAGACAGTTACAGTAACAGTTGCAATTAAAGCTCCCTGGGTGCATGGAGGTTAGAATTAATTTAGTATTTCAGACAGTCTCTTTATTATGCTAATTATCTTCAATAGGTGGGAAAAGGCATCAGTACTGTCAGGGTAAGGGTTTATTAGTACCGTAAGGAGCTTTGGGTTACTTATTAAGCGGGTAATGAGGTTATGCAGTATAGGCTGCCCTGCTGAATTAAAGGCATTAAAAGGTTCCTACATCCATTTAATTAAAGGAAGACTATGAAACTTAAAAAAGAAAAGCAATCTTTTAACAAATGAAAAGTTTAATTCATAACCAATAAAATACACACTCACTTAATTCAGCACATTCAGGGATTTTCTGCTACAGTTACTTGATCCGCTATGACCAGCAGCTTATGGCGTTGCAGATTATGGACTTTTTGACCTCTTATTCACCTGTGAGCTGTACTCTATGTTTTATCATGTCACATATAAACATTTCATTATCCTGTCATTGCCACTTTTGCACTCGGTGGCTACTGTTTATCTCAAATTTTATAGTCTCACTTTGAAACAGAAAGAGAACTTCAGCATTAATATCAGATCATCTACTCAGTCAATATTCCTTTTTGTAACCCAGAGCCCATGGCCCAGATGCTATGATCCTAGTCGATGGCCAGCCGCTGCAGTCCAACGGAGAGCTGGGCCTTTCCCAGATGCTGCACATCACCACCCAGATTGCCTCAGGCATGGTTTACCTGGCCTCCCAGCACTTTGTTCACAGAGATCTGGCAACCCGCAATTGTCTGGTGGGCAATGGCCTGCTGGTCAAGATTGGAGACTTTGGCATGTCCAGGGACATCTACAGCAGCGACTACTACAGGGTAAGACTTCAGGATCTTATTTTTCCTTCAGTGTTGAGTGCTACTCTAGCTACAGTAAGTGCCACGCCTGTGGCACACATAGTTCTTCCATAGTCGCTATGTCCCAACACTGTGTGCAAAGTTAAAATCTTTCAATAACAAGTCAACTCTTCTTTCCTTCAGTTGTCAGTCATCACTTTGCTTTTTCTTGTAGAGTTAAAAACAAGGCACATAAGCATCTGAAACAGGCTTGAAACAGCAATCTCATCAAAAAAGGATATTTTAGTTGGGTGTCCACAACACTTTTGAATTAGTAACTGAACAACCTTAAAGAGCCCATGGCATGCTCATTTCCAGCCATTTAGTGATTAATCTTGGGTACCTCTAGATTAGCTTTGCACACCTCATAGCTCCCACTAGTCTGTAATTACTTCAAAATAATAAAACCTGAGCGCCACCTCCTAAAAATTAGTGTCGTGGCTAGAATGTGATACCAACTAAATTGATTCGGACAAATCATCCCAATTTAAGTAATCATTTAATATTACAATTATTCTGAACAGAGTAGTAGTTGAATAGGTAATCTGGTAGCTAGGAAACAGAGAACAGAATCACTCCTCCTGCAATGGGATAGATAAAGTATTAAATAAGAAGACTGTCAGAGCGCCAGTCAGTCATTGTTGGTCACGTGGTACCCTCAGGGGTCCAATCAGTCAGAGCCCGTCTTGGTCAGGGGTCCAGTCAGTCCTGAGTTCATTCCCCTGACCCCCTGGCTGGGTCTACGGTACATTTTTACGGTAGCATTCTCATCCTCTCTCCTTCTTCTAACCCCTTCAGGCTCACTCTTTTATCCACAGCTCCTTTAAATAGGCTGGTCTTGTGAAAAGGTCTTAGGTGTGCCTGATTCTGTTTTCCCAGCATGACAGCTGGGCCAGGTCAAACTGCTGGGGGCTGCACCAGCAGTTAAGAAGTGCTCGTCTGCTGGGTGAGCACCTCTGCACGCATACAAAAATTGTAAGGAGATTTGAGGTAGATGTTTTTAGCGTTTGTGATGTACATATTTTTAAGATCCGAATATTTTTGTTTGAAGTGTAAAATAATTTTGTGTTGTTTGGTGTTGGTTTCACTTGTATCGGTATGACCAAACCTGTGAACTTTTGTCCCTCGGTGGATGACAAAGAGTTAGGTTGCCAGTGAGGTGAGGACACTTCAGTGGAAACAGATAATCATTAGCCAGGCTTTATTTTAAAAAGTCATCCATAATTCTGTTTAGAAATCTCTGGCCACAGCAGAAAATCAGTGTTGGTGGATAAGACCAACTTAAAGTTTAAAACAACATAAACATTTGTACATTTCACACATAAATTCTAACATTGTCTTAGTCTAAAATGACTTTCACTGCTGAGCTGAATTTTATATTGCTTATGCAAAAACATTTAAATAATAAAATATCAAAAACCTTTCTGTTGCTCTGTGAGTTGGGCTTAATGGCTTGTATGTTTTCCAGCTACACTTCTGGAACATAATGTTCAAAACTTACTGTAAGTTCAGCATCAAAGGTATGTAAACACTCTACTTACAGCCAGGAGTAGTTACTCATTATAAGCTCTTTGTTGAAAAGAATTATTGGATTGTTTAGACACTGGCAGCTCTACTGTATGTAGGCTAGTTTCAAGGTAATCATGTCAGATTATTATGCTATGCATCTTCCATGTATGTTGTGCAAATGTCTTGCCCTGGCTTGGTAATAGGCATATACATCCATGGATTTTGTGTGTGTCATCTACACAGTTATCATTCCACATCTGTTATGTTCTGGTCTTTATTCAATACTAATTATTGAGTGACAATAAGTGCTTATGTTGAAGTAGCGTGATCCCCATCTATAGTGACATTGTGATATTTGCAGAGCTGAAATGTTGTTTATTGCAGATAATATTGTTTTAATGTTCAGTCATCCTAAACGTTCTCCAAAGGTACAAAACATACAGTATATTTAGGTTTGGTATTGCACTTTCCTTTTACATGTGCATTTATTTAACTGTGAATGGACTGACTTTCATTTCATGATGTTTGCTGTGGGAAAACAGTTAGGTAATATATTTTACCACGCACTGCACCAAGTCACTTCACACAGATTCAGGCACAGGCCGGTGCTGTCTATGTGGAGTCAGCAGCTAGTCTGTGAAACTTATTTTTATCTTACTTTTTTTTTATCTTAAACCTAGGTCTACTCCGGGAAGATGTTGCAGGGGTTTTTTTGTAAATGCTAACTTGCATGATACTAAAATGTCTATATCGTTTAATAGTTCAAATGCCTTTCCCTGCAGTAGAGCTGATCAGTGACAAGCAATATGACTATGGGTGAACTTGGGCAGTTTAGGTGGGCCTCTGGGAAAAATAAAAGATACCTCCTCGTTTTTCCTTGTTTTGGCCCAAAGAACAGTTTTTGCTAATTGTCTCTGAAGACCAAGTCACAGCTAATTTAGCAGGTAGATACTGCTCAGCTGGAAGATTAAGTGGTTCAGCCAATGGTTCTTGTCTGAACAATTATGGGCCTAATATACATCTCCTGGGAATGAACTGTTCTGTTAACAGACAGACAGAAAGAGTAGCTGCAAACCATTTAAACAGCTATAACACCTAACTGGGCACCGAGATGCAGTTTAATCAGGGTTTTGTATTATATTCACATGTCCATACTCATAGATTATGCAATTGCCTGTGTCATGGACTGCTAACCTACCACTGCAAGGGTCCAGCTTCATTACCTGTGCTCCACACAGGCAGTATTCATACTGTAAGTGGGATTCCAATGCAGGATAATGTCAGGACCCTGGGACCACAGTTAAATGAAAGTGACCAGACCCAAATTAGGACATAAGTAGAAAATCCAGAGGCATTCATGATAAAAATGTCAACAACAAAAATACATGTGTGTGTTTATGTATCCAGCAAGTTGTGTAATTACTAAATAAATAAATAGAGGTGAAGAACAGAGTTAATTGGACCCATAGTAACAGTGTATTAGGGAGCAGTTTGGCAGTCTCAGGGAACATTTTCACTCCAGTGCTGGTTCTGTCTATCAACCTCAGTGTTGACTTTACTGAGAAAATTTTAGACAGTTGAATATTTTAATGATTTCACACACACACACTAACACAAAGCAGTGAAAAAGGAACAAAACAGTAGTTCTTGCAAATGTGTTGACTTAGGCAGAGGACCAAAAAAGATTTGTAATAGAGAGACCAGTGTCATATTGAGGTTGGGACGATCTAAGTTCATGTATGTGTGGCGTGTCTCATGTGAAGCTGCTGTTTGGTGTGCTGTGATAGCATCACTGCCTGCCTACACAGAGGAATATTGACAGGGTCCAGAGATAAGGTGCTTCTAACAGTATTGGGCACTTTCCCTGTGCTGAGTGATTATAAACAGCAGCGCCCTGCCAAGAACGCAATCCTCCCATCACTGACTAGTCTTACTGATGAGTATTGCCCTCTGGGACTTCCAAGACACTTTGCAGCATGAGGGAACAGCATCAAGAAAGAAATTAATATTGTCCTAAATCACATCCATCATATCCTACTGCCCCAGCTGAACTGAATATGCTTTTGTGTCATATCAAAATAGACATCTTTAGAACCTGTGCAGGCCATTGGCAGCACTCGTGCCTGCTGTGTACTGTGTGTTTTATACCACTGCCTCATGCTATATCAGGTAATGTTTTCCTGACTTCAAGAGAGTGAAGCACTGAATTATGCATGATGAGGTAGGTATCACTATGAAAGCTCTACTGTAAATGTGCCTAAGCATGAAGGTGTAAAAAGAAGACTTTTTTTTTTTGAAGCAGGGGCTCTGTCAACCTGCAGCTTTCAAACATTATTATTAGATGACATGCATTATTTTGTCACAGTGTAATGACAGGTTTCTCCGTATTGCATGTTCTATTTAAATCGGGACAGTTGCTGGAATATACAAACCCTTCTGTCATTTTTCTTGTCATACCCAGTTACATTTGAACAATATTCATTGGTTAAGTCAAATCAGAAGTATGAGAAAACCACTATCTGATTTATTAAAGTAATTAATTGTATTTTTGTTGTGTGAAATGAAGTTTCTGTTGAAATGAAAAATGAAAAAGTTTTGAAAAGTTTTCAGCTTGGTTTTCTGGAAGCTGCAGGAATATAGTGGTTCTTAGAGAGAAGGAGAAAAATTATGAACAGTGACATATAGGTTCCTGTCAGAGGATAAGATGTAGAAGCTTGCAGTTTCTACCTTTTTCATGCAAAATATTAAAAATTCCTCTGACTTTTCTCCAGAGGTTTGCTTGCAGCCTGAGTGTTTTCACTTAGCTATGGCAAGTTATCGTTCCTTATTTATTATTTTTAACATTAAGTGAATGTAAAGCAGACTTGTGTTGAGAAAAAGCATGTTATGTTTGGTTAAACAATTAAGAGCACCCAAAATTATTCTTAATGTTTGAGTAAAAAATATAGTTTCAAAGCCATTCTTGAATCAGCATTTTTGAATCATGGACTTATGAATGTCAAACACTGTAGCAATGTTACAATGTAATAACTCAGTTGCAAGGACTTAGGGTTCTTTGTGAGTCTGCCAGGAAGCCTTGCTTTGCTTTGAAGTACAATGGTCTCGAGGTTTATGCTGCAAGTATGAAAGGATCAAAAAGATGTTCCTCTTATTTATCAAGCACAAGCTTCTCAAAATAGTAATGTGGCTTGGTGCTAATGGGTACACAGACCATATTTATTATTGCTGCATGAAAGGAGGGGAAAAGTCTGTTTTTCCTCTCCCCCTGGGCCTTGAGTTTTTATTTCTAACTTAGCAATCCTGTCTTACATGATTACTATCTTATTAAGCAATAAATCTAAGAAATGAAGGAGATGTTACTGTTGTCCCCATAGGACATTTGTGGCTTTAGAGGGTCCAAGAAAAGCAGTTTCACATTCTTTGGAATGAGTTCAGCATTTTGGGAAATATGCTTATTTGCTCTCTTGCAGACA